CTTTTGGATATGGCTCACACTTCTTCAGCACATCTGGAGGCCAGATCATCTCAAATCGCTTTTTTATGGAGTGCCTCATTTATTCCAATAACCCATGAAGTAGATGCTAATAACATCATCCTCATTTTATATGCTGAGGGAAGCTGGGCTCTTGGAGGTCATGAGCATTCCCCAAGAGCACCCAGGTGGTAAATAATCCAGGCTGTCAGTTCCAGGGCCTACATCACAAGCCTGTGCATGTCCTGGGCTGGCTCTAGATGTGACTTCAGGTCTCCACCAGCTGTCAGCTCTCAACATGTCCATTCTTTCTAGAGGGTTGGAGGCTGCCTATGGTGCCTCATGTGAGGCCATTGTGTAGTCAGAATAGCGAACCTCTTCCCCAAAGGTCAACGTCCAAATAGTCAGAACCTATGACTATATCTCCGTATACAACCTGCTAGCTTTCTGTTAGTGCAACAAGAACCAGAGAAAAGTCAACCGAAAAAGAGGAAAGGTGGTCCTGGAGAGCTGGCCCAGCAGTTGAGAACACTTTGCTGTTCCTGCAGAGGACCCGGTTCTGTTCCCAGGACCCACACAGTGGCTCACAACCACCTCTTAACTCCAGTTCCAGGGGGTCCGATACCCTCATGTCCTCCTCTGGTCTCCTGCAGGGACCAGGCACATGCAGTACACAGGCATCCATGCAGGTCAAGCACTCATACACATAAAATAAAAATCAATCTTTGAACAAGTATAAGTAGAAAATAGATGAGTCACAGAGAGGAGACAGAAGAAAGGGGAAGAGAGACTTGAAGCACAAGAGGACTTCATCCTGCTGCTGCTAGCCTCGAAAAAGAGGAAGGAAATGGACCTTTCAGTCTTAGAACCCCAGGAACTGGATTCTGTCAGCCACTCAAAGGAGCAAAGAAATGGGTTTTCCCTGACTCTCCAGGAGGGAACCAAGCCCTGAAAATGAGATCTTAACTCCAGCCCAGTAAGACTCGGGTCAGACTTCTGGCACAAGCTCTAAGATAATATAACTATGATGTCTTAAGCCACCACACTCATGATAGTTTGCTACAGCAGCAATAGAGAATGAAAACTGCTCAGTGTCTTCGTCCATCTTCACCAAGTGTCCTTGATGCCTAGGCATGAAGCGAGGTGCAGAAAATTAACTTCCGGTTCTCCTCTTCAATGAAGAGGTCCGAGTGGCTGAGAGGTGGGGGAGTGGGTAAGAACACTTGCTGCGCAGTCACGAGACCCTCCATTCAAATTCCCAGTACCAACATTAAAAAAAAAAAAAAAAAAAAAACCGCTGGGCGTGGCCCCACGAGGGCTTGTAACCCTAGTGCTGCTGGAGGCAAAGACAGGAAAATTCCCCAGGTCTGCTGGCCGCCAGCCTCATTCCAGGTTAGTGTGACTAAGAGGTGAGTGACAGTGAGGCAGTAAGACCCTTGAGGCTGTCCTCCGGCCTCGGCACAGGCACTGTACCCGTGGACACAGTGACCTACCTGTACCACACGTCCCGGGGGCATGGAGGAGGCGGTCAAAATTGCAAATCCAGGCTAACCTTTGCAGTCAAGGAGGAAATCTAAACGCAGGGTTTACCCAGACTAGAAGGACCAGTCATGATCCCGGAGCAACAATCTGCCAGTGACTTGTTTTTGCTGGATGGCCCCTGTGCAGGCGCAACCAAGACACGAAAGGATGAGCTAAAGGACAGTTTCGTGCCCAGTGGGAAAAAACCTGCAGATTTGTAAGCAACAGCCATGACATACGGCAGTGCATCTGGAACAAAAATACCTTAGCTGAACTAGAGGATATTCTCGTGTTGGTTTGTTCTCGACTTTCTAAAACGTAACTTTCTATTTGATAAGTGGAAAAATATAGTACAAAGCTTTGCCTATATTTTCAATAGAAAATGTGTAAAATAAGATAAATGAGGAAAATGACTTTATTCCAACATATTCAATGAAGCATGGTAATTTTTACTTTTAATATTTTAAAGAAAATTTTTATTAGTGGTATGTGTATGATTGAGGGGGCATGCAGGCCATATAAGTGTGTGGAGGTCAGAGGGTAACTTTATGGATTCGGTTCTCTCATATGAGGGCTCCAGGGATCCAATTCTGGTCATCAGGCCTAGTGGCAAGGTCTTTACCACCTGAGCCATCTTGCTAGCCCTGTCTTGTCTTTTTTTGAGATAGCCTCAAGTAGCCCAGGCTAGCCAAAGAGAATGACTTTAAGCTTCTGATCCTCCTGCCTCTACCTTCCAAATTCTGGGTTTGCCAGTATGCCACCATGTTCAGCTACGTTTTATTTCTTTAAATAATACTTTAAAGTTTTCATTTATTCTCTTATAATTTCATACATATAAGAAATATTCTTTGACGAAAGTTTCCCCCATTACCCTCTCTTATCTCTTCCCCTCTCCCCCCAAACCCCTTCTTCTTCCCAAGTTCTCTCACTTTCATGCCTTTGTGTGTGTGCCTGTGACCACTGAAGAATACTATTTCCTACACTGCATTCAGCCTCCCCATTCGCCTCCATCCGGTCCAGCATGGGGCCTCTCAGACGTTGCTGACTTTGCTGAGGGTCTTCTGCAAAAGCTGGTTGTCTCATGGATGTCAGGTGACAATAAAGGACCTACGAATGAATGGGTGCTTAGTAAAGATTATCCAGCAAATTACGCTCCACCTCCTCCTGACACAGAAGGAAATGACTTCAAATCCTCTTATCCTGCAAAAAAACATCCCTATCACAGTTCCCCAGGAGAAACCTGTCCACTTCAAGGAAGGGGTCACAACAGCACTCGAGTCACCCCATGTCAAGTCGACTTCCTTCCTAGGACCCGCCAGAGTCAACCTGCTCCTGCCTGGGCCGAGCCTTCTCCACCTTCTCCCAGCCTTTCTAGACTGCAATGTGGTCTCCGGGTCCCAGGCCTAACACCCTGGCACCAGAACAAAGCATACTGGATAAATAGGAGTGTGTGTGGGCTCTTCTGTGTTACGTCTTTTCTCATCTATGAAAAGTTTGTGGCGACTGCATGAGCTAAGGGTCTCCTGCTTCTCCAGTCTGACTACAATTATCTAAAGGCAAAGCTTAGGTAATATTTCTCTCATTCAATTTTAGCACCCAAATGGGGACCAAGAGTTGATACACGAGCCTGCGGGGAACATTCCTCGTTCCAACCACTGCATTACACACAGCAGGCACAGGTGTACAAGGTGTCTGGAGGACAGGGGTCAGCATCTGCTCTTGATATTCCATGTCTTCCTCAGCTCTTTGCTGTCTTATTTTGAGGTAGACTCTCTCACTGATCCTGGTGCTCACCAGTTCAGTAAGCTGGCTGGCCAACAAGCTCCAGCAAGCTCCCTCAGCAGTGAGGAGATACGGATGTTGTCACACACGTCTTTTTACCTTATGCTTGCCTGGCAAGCACCTTTTTGGTTGGGCCATCTGCCTAGTATGAGGCCATTCTTTAGAAAACAAAAAGTCACCCGAGGGTTAAGGACAGACACAGCACAATGTGGCTCACTTTTATTGTTACTGTTTTCAGAGTTTTATTCTGGAAACAATGAGATTTCTTTTTCTTTGTTTTTAGATTTATTTTTAATTATTTGCATTTGTGTGTGCTTGTGAGTGTAGGTGTCCACAGACTCCAGAAGAAGGCCTGGATCCCCTGGAACAAGAGATATAAGCTGGTGCTGGGAACTAAACTTCATCCTCTGCAAGAGCAGGAGGTGCTCCTAACCCCTGGGCCATTTCCCTAGTTCTGTTTGCTTTTCAAAAGGGTCTCGAGTAGCTCAGGCTGGCCTCAAACTCCCTATATAGCTGAGGCTATCTTTCAACTACTGATCCTCCTGCCTCATCTTCCAAGAGCTGGGATTACAGTTATGCAAAGCCGTGCCTAGCTTTGACCCACATTTTGTTCCTCTGACTGCAACACTGAGAATTAATTACAGGCTAATGGAGAGCTGGGTGTGGGTGCTATTATAATAATGCTATTAACATTATGGTTCAATTTCGTCAATGATTAACTGGATATTGGTGGGGGCAGCTGAGAGAGTTGATTTAAGACCCTCATGGAAAAATTGGAGAAGGAGCTTGCAGATAAGGAAAATGGGACCAAAAAAAGACAGTATGGGAACTAAGTCTGGAAGTGGAGGTGCAGGACAAAGAATGGTTGGGGTTAGTTTGTGCACGGGACCTCTCATCCTCTCCTGAGAAATGGGATTCTACGTTGCCACTGAAGGCCTTTGAGTCTTATGCAATAAAGAAAGCTTGGCAGGAGTGGGAGAAAGGGCGATTTCAGGAGTGTTCTGAAGGAATATGGGTGAAAGACCACTGGAGCCTAGGTTTAGATGGAGGAGGAGTTTGGGACGTCACCCCACGCTGGGTAACTAGAGAGTGCTCTTAAGGCTTATACTCCGGGCCCACCTCTTCTTCAGGACAACCGTGCTTTTAGGGAACTGAAGATTGCCACCTCCACCGTGGAAACATTCCCCTTCCCTTAGACCTCCAGGCAACACCAGGAGGTTTAACTGCAGAGCTTGAAAACAGTGTGCCCCAGAGGAGGGCATGTGAGCTTCCTCCAGGGGAGTTTTCAAAACTATGCTGAGTCCTGGCACAGGAGGGAAGCGGGCCTGCCCCCAGACTTCATTGAGGACCGTCACCCATTTCCATTTTTAGGTTAAAAATGCCTTCCTAGGTTTAGCTCCGGAGTGTATCCATCAAACTAGTCTTGCTCCGTTGCAGACATCAAGGTCACCCTCCCCTCTCCTGTCTTTTGGCACCGTGTGGATTGTAAAAAGTCAGGCGGGCACCAGGAACCTCCTGCCGTTTACAGGGGGGGAAGGGGGAGCCCCCTCGCTGCCAGGGCGTTGGCCCAGCCCGGGCGTGGCAGCTGCGGGGAGAGCAGGGCGGGGGCGAGGCGGGAACGGCGCCAGCAGGGCGGGGGCGAGCGCGGGGCGCGCTCCCGGGAACCTCGTGCCCGCGCCGCGGTGCCGCCCGCCCCCGCCCCGCCCCGCCCCGCCCCGGTCAGCTGGGTTCCGCGTCCAGCCGGCTGCCGAGCATCCCGGGCGGCGCGAACGGCCCAGCCATGTCCGCAGCCATGAGGGAGAGGTTCGACCGGTTCCTGCACGAGAAGAACTGCGTGACCGACCTCCTGGCCAAGCTCGAGGCCAAGACCGGAGTGAACCGGAGCTTCATCGCGCTCGGTGAGCGGCGGCGGGGGCGCCCCCCACCCCACCCCGAGAGCGGCGCGGGGCGCGGCCGGAGGGCGGCCGGGAGGCCCCTGGCGCGTGGAGCCGGGGCCTGGGCGCCGCGCGCGGGCTGCGGGGACGCGGGGGCGCTGACGTGTCGCCTCTGCCGACCGCGAGCGTCCGAGGAGCCGCGGGGTCCCGCGGGGTCCCGCGGGGTCCCGCGGGGTGGAGGCCGCCCTTCACCTCCCGGAGCCCTCGGCAGCCCGGCCTCGCGTGGACAATCCGCGCTCGCCCGGGGGCTGGCCGAGCGGGGCTTCCCGGCCGGTGCACCGCGCGGGCCAGCTGGGAAGAAGGGGAGGCAGGGGACTGCCCTGGATGCCCAGTCCAGGCGGGCCTCCCCCCCCTTCCCCGCCCCCCGCGGGGTGTTGAGGCCGGGGGATTGCTCGCTATGCTCGGCCCTGCGGACCCTGTCCATAGAGTTGAGGCAGGGGATTGTACGGGTATGCTTAACCTAGGCGGGCCCGGTTCAAAGAGTTGAGGCAGGGGACTGCTCAGTATGCCCAGCCTAGGAGGGCCCTGCCCAGGGAGGAGAGGCGGCGGACTCCCCAGTGTCCCCAACCCAAAGGGCGCCCGATCGACGGGCAGACCGGACCTCCTTGTGGTCGGTTTCTCTCCGGTAATCGAGGCCGGAGGAAAACGCCTAGGAAAGGCCTAACCTCGAAGTGTGGGTGTGGGCGGGGACTGTCTTTAGAATGTCTGCCCGGTCACCCAACCCGCTTCTCTCTCCAGGTGTCATCGGACTGGTGGCCTTGTATCTGGTGTTCGGTTATGGAGCCTCTCTCCTCTGCAACCTGATAGGTTTCGGATACCCAGCCTACATCTCGTAAGTGGCTCGCCCCCTCCACCGCCCCGTTCTGCCCCCTCCACCGCCCTCCACGTTCAGGGCTTGTGGGCTGTTTAGCCCAGGTTCTTGAGACCCAAGTCGGAGCGCCTTAAAGTTAACGTCCTGACTGCTTAAGGTTACACATTTGGGAGCCTTAACTTGTTCTCCGATCTCCTGTCAGCTGGCCAAAGGGTGTTGTATTTTTTATCAGATTATACTGACAAGGAGTTGACCTTATCCAGGCCGCACAGAATGTGGTGGAGCCCAGTCCTCCACTTTCTGGCTGACGGACTGAAACAGCTATCGGGAGTGACCTGCGCCCCATTGATGACTTACGGGGATTTCTACCATATGTTTTTGTACACGGTAAAACCCAATTAAGAAAGTTAGAACTTTCTTGATTCAGAGTTCTATTCAGGGCAGGTGAAGACTTTGGGCTTGCTTTATTTGAACCCGGCTCTCACACTGTAGCCCTGACTGGCCTAACACTCGTTTTTTTTGTTTTTGTTTTTGTTTTTGTTTTTGTTTTGTAGCAAAGGCTGACCTCACCTAACCTTAGCTTTCCTAGTGCTGGGATTACAGACGTGAGTCACCAGCCTGGCTTAGCTTTTTGATTTTTAAAAAAGGCTAATTATTGGACCACTGAGACGGCTCAATGGTTTGCTGTTTGCCACCAAGACTGACAACCTGAGTTCAGTCCTGGCCACCCACATGGTAGGAGAGGAAGTGACCCCTCCAGGTTCCCTGTCTCTTCTCCATGCCTCCATGCCATTGGCCTGCTGCTTCCCACCACAGATGAGTAAAGGTCATAATGACAGAAATTTAAGGCTTTTTTTTCTTTTCATTTTAAAATTCAATTTTTTTTTGTGTATGGGTGTTATGCCTATGTCTGGGCACCATATGTGTGCCTGGCACTGGAGGAGGCCAGAAAAGGGTGGTGGATTCCCTGGAACTGGAGTTTTGTACAGTTGTGAGTCAGCCTGTGGGTTCTGGGAATCAACCCTGGGTCCTCTGGAAGAGCAGCCAGTCCTCGGAACTGCTGAGCCATCTCTCCGGCCCCAAGGCCAAATATCAAAAGCAAATTTGGAAGCACCATAACAAACCTTATAAAATACATGACACAGCTCCATGGTTAAATTATTCGTGTAATGAGAAAATGAATCACAACATTAGGATCTAATAAGTATTATTTATTTTATAACTTAATGTTTATTTTTGAAGACATTTTATAATTTATCATTTTTCTGAGCAATCAGAATTGCTCTTCTCTCCACAAATGAATTTTATTTTATACTATAATAAAGTTGGTGGGTTTCATCCATTCGATTTCTGAAACTTCTCAACCATAGTAATAAAAATAAAGGGTGAAAACATTTCAGTGGGAGGTCAAGACACAGATAATATCATTATACCATGTGACTATCATTGGCCGGATTGGAACTTAGAATATGCGAGGAGGGAGAAAATGTTTTTATTGTTTTGTTTTGTTTCATTTTTGAGACAGTCTCAAATAGCTCAGGCTGGCCTCAGACTTGTCATGTAGCCGAGGATAGCCTCAAACTTCTGATCAGGGCCCCTGCCTCTGTCTCCCCAGTGCTAGGATTGTAGGCAGTGCCACCACAGGTAGCTCTGCGAATTTGGTTTTAGAAGTTAGTTGTTCTGGATAAAGGCCAGCTGCTGATGTGACGAGCTTGCTTGTGGAGTTGGAGACCCTCAGACGTCAAGCTGGGCAGGGCTTTTGCTCTCCGGGCATTACCTGCTAATGCACTGCCTGGCTTCTGTGATGATAGTATGGAGGATCACTAAGGCAGACGCGGAGGATTGGTTTGGCTTTCACTGTGGTAAAGGTAGAGAGAGCCCTTTAGTGATAGTTGATGTTAAATGCTGATAGCAACCTTGTTCAGAATAGCTCCCTGTGCAGTAACAAAGTTACCTTGTAGTGCACACTCTCTCTCTGACTCTGGGTATTTCACTTGGAATTCTTTTAAAAAGGGAACTTTGTGAAGCATTTTCAGTGTGTGTCTTAGAGTTGTTTCTCTCCTTCCACCAGGTTGGCAGCAAGCCTTCTCCCATTGAGTCCCGCCTTCCCCAAGAATATGGAGTTTTTAAGACCTTGATGACATAATAACCTGTTTTCCTACATCAGTGCTACTTGATACATAATTGTGTGATAAATGTAACTAACTTCTTTGTTGGCATGAGTACATTATTTATGCGAGCTGTAGAGAGTTAAGTCTGTTTCTTGGGGCTGGAGAGCCTTCTCAGCAATAAAGAGCACTTGCTGCTCTTACAGAGGACCCAGGTTTGGCTCCCAGCACCCTGATACGGCTCAAAACTGCCTGTAACTCCAGTTCCAGGGGACTCATTGCTCTCCTCTGTCCTCCACAGACATCAGGCATGGGCATGGTACACATGCATACATATATGCAGGCAAAATATTTAAACATACTAAATAAAATTTTAAAAGATTAAAAAAGTCTGTTTCTAAACTGGGCGTGGTGGTTCATACCCTTAATCCCAGCACTTGGGAGGCAGAAGCAGGAGGATCTTAGTGAGTTCAAGGCCAGCCTGGTCTACATAGTGAGTTCCAAGCTATATTGTGAGACTGTCTCAAAAAAAAAAAGGTCTGTTTTGGGTGGAACATGTAGGTCCATGCACATGTACAAGTGCATGTGACCAAAAGTGAGGCCAGAACTAGGTTATGTATTTCCTTGTCTAGAAGTAATCCTAGGCTAGACTATTTTCAGTCATATTCAAAGTGATTTTTTTTTTTTTCTGAGACAGTGTTTCTTTGTGTACTCCTGGCTGTCAAAGTGATTTTTAAGTTGCCATTTTCAGCCTTATTATTTCTTTGTGTATTCATTCATTGTCTACATGGTCTACAGATTATTGACTTTTTTTTTTTTACTTACCAGATGTTCGGTATTTCTGTTTGTTGCTAGAAGTTGTAATGGTAGACTGGTCATTTCTAAGTAGCAGAGGGGGGTAGATTTTCGAGGCTTTAGAATGTGGTCAATAAGTGCATAGGCTTTATTTTCTTTTCAGTTTTTATATTCTGAGGCAAAGTGACCTTTGTAGTACATTTTAGTAAGAGAAAAACACATGTAATAAAGGACATTTAATGATTTAAGCAAAACTTCAGAAAGTAATATTAAGTGGAGTTTGTGTGGATGAGGCTGGCCTTTCTGTAGGTCCAACTCTTGTCTTTAAAGTCAGCCTAGGATTCTGTGACTTGGGTAACCACTGGAGTCATTGGAGAGGCCTAAAAAAATACTGACAGCTGTCTGGGTCTTTCCCCCATAGGTTCTGATCTGATCGGTCTGGGTATAGCCTGGGCTTGGGGGTTTTGAAAGGCCTGTCAGTCTTTCATACTTTTTAAAGGATTATAACGTGCAGAGAGTGTTGAGAGCCTCTGGTATAGCATGGCAATAGTAACCACCACACAAGTGCCCTTTAAGTGTGAAGACTGGACAAGAGGGGGGGAAAATAGCCTTCTGTTCCCGAGAGTAGTCTAGAGACGTCCTCAGTGCTCTGCTCTGTGTAGGAGGTTCAAGAAAAAATGGGATTTGTACACAGTAAAAAGCATACAGACCCCAGTCAGTAAACATTCAGGCAGCCAACATTAATTTAATTAAGTCTGTTCATTGTTTAGCCATGATTATTGTGATTGTACAGTTTTTCAAAAGAAAGAAGGTCCTTAACAATGGTGGTTTTGAGTAGTGCTTAGACCATTGTTTGCTGGGGTTGGGGAGACGTCTCAGTGGGTCAGAGTGCTTGCTGGGCAAACATGAGTACACAGTGCCCACATACAGAGCTGGGCATGTGTGTGTGTGCTTGTATCCCCATTGCTGGGGTCAGGGAGGCACATCCCAGGAGCTCATTGGCCAGTCAGTCTAGCTGAAACAGCGAGCTTCTGATTCACTTAGAGGCTCTGTCTCAAGGAAGCGATATGGAGATGTAGAGGAGGGCACACATCCTTCTCTGGCCTCTACAAGGGCACACACAGACACAAACCCACACACTTAAGTGCATACACCATACCCATATTCACACACACACACCACCACCACCACCATGGTTTCTGCATGTCTCTGTCTGGTTGGGCTCATGTAACAGCAGGTGATTTATGAGTGAGGACATTTTTGTTCTGACTTCTGAAGGCTGAGAATTCCAAGACCAAGCTGCCAGCTGAGTTGGTGATCTGATAACCGTTGTCTGCTTCGGAAATGGCACCAACCTGTGGTGTGGTCACGAGGCAGAAGAGGCGAGCAGGCACCCTCGAGCCACTCACATCAGGCAGAGCACTTACAACCTAATCACCTCCTGCAGGTCCCATCTCTTAGAACTGTCACATCGGGTATTGGGTTCCACCAAACCGATTTGGGGTCACTGAAATTCCGCCCCTAGCCATTGTCTTCACTCAGCCTCCCCGTTTCCAAACCTCACTGTTCTCTTCATTCCCCGGGATAGTTACTCTTCAAAACGGAGGCTCATCTGCTTAGCAGATGTCCACGTCAGCCGTATACCCGCTGCTGGTATAGCCCTTTAGATGTGGCGATGAGAGGGACACGGTCCCTTTGCAGCAGTCCGCTGGTGAGCAGGTGGGAAAAATAGGTAAAGTAGTGACAGAATGGTGAACTCCCAAAGAAAGAGTCAGGCAGCTGTGTGGTCAAGAGGAACAGGAAAGGCTCTCTGGATATTTATCTGCATTGCTGTGTAAGACCTTAGGAACGAGCTGGAGCCAGCCTGGCAGAGGAAGCCGAGTGGGCCATGGCCTGAGGCAGCAGCAGCAGCCTGAGAGGGAAGAAGGCTGAGGGAGGTTCCCAAGGGCTGCTGGTCTGCAGCGGGCAAAGCTGACCGTGAATGCAGTGGCCTTTCCCCCCAGATGGCTGTATTTTTCTAATTGTGCCGGAGAGGGTTGAAATAAGGGGTCACATGATAGGACTTCCCAGGTAGAATGTAAATGGCTGCTGAGACCCCTGGATTGGTGATCTTGCCGA